CCACTGGTCCAAGCTTAATAATCAATGGGTAATGCTTTTCTAACGGTCCTTATGCAGTCTCTGTAAAAATATGGAAAGGACCCCTGGAGGTTTACTTTCCTGAAAAAAGTGTGTTATGTGTCGGAACCCTGGTGGTGGGTTGCGGGATATCAAGGAGGGGCACACTGGGGCAATTTCAGTCCAGCAGGCTGGAGCCAATCATGGAGCAGCACAACAGAGGAAATCAGGTGTCAGGCTAGAAAAAGGTGCAAGTGTGTGGTTCATTAGGCTGCAAGAAATCATGGAGGAGCACACTGAAGCGCACGCTTACAAACCACTGGTAAGTGCTGACTACAAGTCATGACTTCAAATTGTTATATAGAATGATTACAAATTATTTGTTGTTTGTGCAGCTTAGTCAAGAGTCCCTAATTGATGAAGTCGACTCAGATTCTGACGATTTAACTGTCAAGAAGAAACCTGTAAAAAAGTATGGAAAAAGAAAAATCAAAAACACTTTTCTTCAAGACTCGGAAAGTGACGAACCAAAGGCAAATAAGATTGTTATCATGCAGCTGCAAAAGAAGAAAAATGGGGGGCGAGTATACAGCAAGAGACACTTCTGCCTCTACTGTTCAATGTCCTGCCACAAAATGTTCCGTCATTTGACTAGAAAACATGGAAATGAAAGTGACGTAGCCAGAGCATTGGCTCTACCTGTGAAATCTAAAGCACGTAAACTTCAGTTTGATTTGATCAGGAATAGTGGAAACCGTGAGCACAATTTTGAGGTTTTAAAGGCCGGCATTGGAACTTTAGTCCCAGCTAAACAGCCAAATTCCCCAGTTAAATCCAGTGAGTTTTTGCACTGTATAGACTGTGGGGCATTGCTTAAGCGAAAGTCGCTGTGGAGGCATGTGGCCAGGTGCCGGCTTTCACAGAAAGATGCCCAGGCTAAACCAGGTAGAAGTAGGGTCCAGTCCCTCTGCTCCCTAGCCCAGCCTGTACCGGAGGGCATCAGCAAAAAGCTGTGGTCTTTAATTTCGGCAATGCATCAGGATGAGGTCACGGGTGTTGTCAAAGCAGAAAAGGGGATTCTGAGACTCGGAGAGCACCTGTACTTAAAACACGGGCATGATAAGACAAAGCATGATTACATTAGGCAGAAAATGAGAGAAGTCGGTAGGTTAATTAACGAAGCAAAAACCGCAGGGAAACTGAAAACAATTAAGGATTTCTTTATTCCTTCCAACTTTAACCATGTGATTGATGCAGTCAGGTCTGTGGCTGGATATGATGAGGAAACAAATCAATACAAGACTCCATCCTTGGCCCTCAAACTCGGCCATAGCCTCAGAAAGCTAGCAGATATTCTTGAATGTGACTCAAAAATGGAGCATTGTGTTGATGAACTATTTATTAAAAACCTCCAACGAAGCCGGCTGCTTTTTGAGAAGAGGTGGGACGTCTGTGTTTCTTCTGCTGCCCTACAGACCCTCCGGCAAGCCAAGTGGAACACTCCGGACCTGCTCCCTCTGACTGAGGACGTTAGAGCCATGCATGCACATATTGAGGTATGTCGACCTGAATATGTGCAAACCCTAATAAGTGAGCCAACGTCTAAGCATTGGTCTAAACTGGCAGTTTTGACTCTTTGTGAGGTCATCATTTTCAATCGAAGAAGGGAAGGTGAGGTTTCAAAGATGCCACTGACAGCCTTTACCTTAAGAAGTAAGACTGGGATCCATTCTGACATTGCTCTGGGACTGTCCAACTTGAGAAAAAGCTGTGTCAGCATTTTCAACGCATTGAAATTAAAGGGAAAAGAAGTCGGAAAGTGCCGGTTCTTTTGACTCCTGAAATGATTGCTTCGATGGAGGTGCTGGTGGAGAACAGAAGGGCCTGTTCCATCTCTGACCATAACCCATACTTCTTTTCCCGCCCGGGCGCAGACACCCACATCAGGGGATCAGACTCCCTACGCCAGGTAGCCAAAGAATGTGGTGCGGTGCATCCAGAGATGCTATCCTCAACCAAACTTAGAAAGCACATAGCTACTATGTCTACAGTTCTCAATATGAAAGAGAATGAGATGGACATACTTGCCAACTTCCTCGGCCATGACATTCGCATCCACAGGCAATATTACAGACTACCAGAGGGGACACTGGAGCTGGCCAAAATCAGCAAAGTGTTGATGGCCATGGAGCAGGGAAGAGTGACGGAATTCGAAGGAAAGAGCCTCGACCAGATACAAATTGAGCCTGAAGGTAATTCTTGATATTATTAAAATATGTATGATTTTTTTCCCCTAAAGGCCACTTGTATTTTTATTTTCTGTGCGACAGGGAGAGCAGTAGAGATCCTCTCACAAACGGACGGGCTAAAAGAAACTTCAAGCGGAGAACCTTCAACCATTCATCCAGATGCACCCCATGGTAGTGGCAGTGCCCCTTCTGGTAAGTGTACCAGGTGGGGGATTACAGCCAGGCTGCTTGGTCCTCACCCTGGGAGTGTATATTGCTAATATATTTTTATTTCTCTCCCTAGAACGTGTAAGAAAGCCATGGTCTGCATCTGAGGTGAAGGCTGTGGAGAAGACCATGACACCTTTCATACAGACTGGAAAGGTCCCTGGGAAGTCTCACTGCCTGGCCTGCATTAATGCCTCACCAGATGACCTTAGACATCGGACATGGAGTGGCATTAAATTCTATGTCAAAAATAGAATCACTGCAATTCGAAAACAAAATCTAAAATAAAATTCCTTTAAAATAGTTGTTTGGTTTCTATTGACTGTTTTGTATTACTTAAAGTCTTGGTAAAAAAAGATTATGTCTATGGGTCCCATTCTGAACGGCCCTGTCAAAGGGACCCACCAGGTAACAAAAACGTGTATGTGTGTGTGTGTGTGTGTGTGTGTGTGTGTGTGTTTGTGTGAGTGTGTTTGTAGTCTTGTCTTATACCATCTACGGCAGGGTCTATTCAACTCAGTCACAAGATTTCATTCCAACCAAGCACCATTTATTTTTTTAAATCACCTGTTTTGTTGTCCTGCTTATTGAGTTTTTTTCATTTATTTTTCGTAATGGTAATTGTGTGTGGTTCGAGCCTTATTGTTTAGATTTTTGACGGTAAGTATTTTGGATAATGTTTGTCCGTATTTTACACTACATAAAACGAGGATTGATCAATATATTTCCCGGAAAAAAAAAAAAATCCTCTGAACACGTGAATCCGGCACACGCAATGGAAACCGCTGCTGTTATATGTCCATGAAATATGAATGGTGTTGAAAAGATGCCCTTTTCCAACAGGCAGATAAAGGTTTATTGAAGGCCGGAGTTTGCGAGATATAGAGGTTACCATGGCTACACGTGTGAAAAGGGCATCTGATCCAACTTCTGACCAGTCAATTAATCCTGGAATTTGTGATATCAAAGGCTCACTTGTGCCTTGAATTAATTGCAATGAAGAAGAAAAAAAGACATTCTTGCTATGCCGGGGCAAAAAAAAAAAAAAAAAGCTAGCTTAAGATAAAACATGCCACCAGGGGAAATACCAATGTGAATATTTAAGATGGATTAGCTGCATATGAATATTTAGAGTGTTTGGTCTTAGCTGAGAGAATGGGAAATGATCAAGTCTTCATTATGGCTATTTCAGAGAATCAACCCTGAAACAATAATATTAGCTCAAACTGTAAATACACTGCCAAAAGTGACAAAAATAACTGATAATAATAATAATAATGAAAAAATTCTTAATATTAGCACATTTGGACTGCCTTAAAACAAGATTTGCCAATGGGACAGGAAAATCATCTTGCTTTAAAAATATACAATAAATCTTCCTCTTGGAATGAGAAAATAAAGCAACAGTTCTTGAAATCAGACTAAATAGCTTTAACCCATTGGCAAATTGTGTTTTAAGACAGTCAGAATGTACTTTGGGCGGCACGGTGGCTGAGTGGATAGCACACTCGCCTCTCAGCAAGAAGGTCCTTGGTTCGAATCCTGGCCGGACAAGGGCCTTTCTGAGTGGGGTCTGCATGTTCTCCCCGTGTCTGCGTAGGTTTCCTCCGGTTTCCCCTACCACTAAAAATATGTACAATAGGTCTGGCATGCGCCTCCTGTTCGGCGACCCCCCTCCCATCTCTGTGTGGAGTGAGAGGACAAGTGCCCAAAAATAACAATTGTAAACCGCTTTGTGACTCTGGTCTGTGAAAGGCGGTATATAAATAAAGCTTACTTACTTACTTAATCAGGATAAAAAACACGCATTTATTACATCATGTTTTATCATTTTTGCAGTGCATAAACTTTTTTTCAAACTGGCTCTGTTTGGACACAACTATGTGCATGTGTGTGTTGGCAGCTACAGTATAATGAGTCTGTAGGAATACTACTGGGGTTAGTGTTAGTCATAATGGGTAAGGCATACAGTGCATATTGCTGCATATATTCCCAAGCAGTTGGGCTTTGCTTTGGCTTTCGAGTCCAAAGGGCGTAAACGAGAAATAACAATCCAAATGAATTGTTTATGTCAACTTTGGCTGGGAACGACTCAGGAAATAATCATGCAATAACTTAACTGCAACTTGAGAAATATGTATTCATGTAAACATATTCAGGCAGTCGCATATTTCAAAGACCCTCTTACTAAGCCTGATCATATATGGTAAAGAAAAAGAGTGATGCAATCTTTTGATCTGTGGATGTGTTTTAGCACTGGCTCGCCGGGAAAACCTCGTATATTTTGTTTTTTTTCTCCCCCCCAAGTGCTAGAGGGCATTGCGGAGGAGTGGGATTTTTTATTTTTTTAAATCAGCGGGCCACAAATAACGGCCCCTTTTTACAGTCCTCGGCTGGAACGGCCGCTGTGTCACCAGGCACACAACTCACGCTACTGTACTGTCCTTGTCAACGCCCTCCCCCCACTCCCCCCACTTCCCTGTTTCTCTCGCTTTAAAACAAGGCCTGGTTGTTAATCACACTCCCATCGTAGCTAATTAGAACAGGTCATCTTAGCGGAGGCGACAGTGTATCACGTCCACCCCCGCCTCTCCTCTCACTCCAAGCCATTTTCTCATATGCTCCTATCACTAGCGGACATCTCGTTGCGTGCCGCGGCTGCCTGTCCGCGATAGCAGCAGAGACCGGGATCAACCAGCGCTCGAGGCCCTCTGGAGTGTCAATTAATGGGCTGCAGAAGAAAAAAAAAAAAAACTGGTGAAAAAAAAATCATAAAATGGATTCGATGTACTTAGGCTTAATTAATACATTGTCACCAATTTTGCAGAGATAATTAATCTATTTGAAGACTTGGCAAAGAAGAGCTGTCCGCATTCAGGAGGAAGGAGAGATGAGGCAGGAGATGTGACAAGTAGCTGTAATTGTGCGTTTGAATAATTTGTGTGAAAATAGGGATTTTCACATTTCCAAATGAGATTGTGTTGCTACTTTAAAGCTGGGGTACCTAGCTTTCAAACTACACTGAATACAACTATGTAACACAATCCATCAAATTCGTTTTTCGGTCTCTAAACAGTTGTTTTAGTGATATAAAGTCACTAGTTTTCACATGTTTAGATTTGTGGCCTCTGTCACACCTTTAGATCACCTTTTTCAGACAGAAAAGAGAGGACCAGACACAATCGGCGAATCAACTCTCAGCCCAAATAGTCTAAGGCAGCCATTCCCAAACTCAGTAACACCGAGGCCCCCTTAAAAATCTGACGGGTCTGCGTGGCCCCCCAAAATAATAACAAAGAAGACAACATTAAGAATAGGCTCTTCTGGTTATTTTATTTTGGGGAAATAGCCTCTGCTACAAACATTGTAATACAAAAATGATTACAGTGGATTATTCAAGTCAAATAATGAACACAAATATTTTAATATTACAAACAAAACATTATAAATTTAACATTAAATAATTATATTATTTTTTTATTTTTTTTATGACCTCCCGCGGCCCCCTTGCAGTACCCTCGCGGCCCACCAGGGGGCCGCGGACCCCACTTTGGGAGACACTGGTCTAAGGTATATAGGAGGATTTTTTTTTACTTCCGGGTGGATCATCAAGACCTCACAGTTGTCAATCATTCTGGTTATACGTGCCGTCAAATAAGACCAGAGAGTTTTGCTCAAAAAGTGGAGAGGGCAGCTCTTTCCTAAAATTTGGGAAAAAGCTCCTATATACCTTCAATAGCAGGGCTCTTGCTTACAAGTATGCATTACTTATGTTTCCCAATATGAAAACAGGTCATCCCGTTCCCTAAGGAGCAATGGCTGCTATGTGTTTGTTATTACTGCATTTCCTCTGGTCGAACTGTTTGATCTGTTGTTGGCACCTTTGAGACCTTTGTAAAGTCCTCGGAAATTACTGCTGTTAGGGCTATACAAAATAAATTGATTTGAAACATGGACATATTTGTGAAAAAGATACAAAGATAAGGATAGGTAACCAGGGTATAAAAGGTTCACAGAATGTTTTAACTGCCCAGATTCTTAGATTGGGTTGTCTTCTTCCCTCTTCATAGTAAGGAGCTAAAACACACTCTAGTTATGTAAGTGACTTGCTTGCCTCCAAAGAGGATGGATCAGTTTTAAAGCCGTACAGTGGAACATACCATGCCACACAACATGTATATGGACTAAAATTACACAAACAAAACCACTCATATTAACACATTTTCTATTCATTCTTCCCACAGCTGGCAGTTTGGCCCGCAATAAACTGAAACAGCAATAAACATACAAGATTTACAAAGAGGAGGTCCTTCGAGAAAAATGCAATCTATAAGCCACAACCTAATGACTACAAAGACCCAGGACAAGAAACGAGGGGTTAGGCATTGATTTGGACTCCCAACTACACACACAAAGGGTGCTTCAATTGTTTGAAGTGAGTGCATTACCTACAGCCAATACCAGTCAGCCCGCCCCCAGACGAGCTCGCACACAAGCCCACCGCAGACTCACTGTAAGCTGCTGTACTGCCAGATAACACTGCATAGAGTAACAGAAGAGTCCCTTGATGAATGCAAGTTTAAATGCATATTATATTTGAAGATAACTCTCACTTCGCTCGTCTAATGATGAGCTCAGACATGCAGGGGATAGCAACAGAGGGTTCGCGATGACGGCGCTCTCGGTGGACTAGATGCGGGCTACAGCTGGAATAACCCAATACTTTACAGCTACACCAGTTTCTCATTCATCATTCCATCAATTTTCTTTCGCTTCATCTGTTGCCGGGTCGCAGCAGTCTAAGCAGAGAAGCAAAGACTTCCCTATCCACACACACTCCTTCTAGTTTATTGATTAATAATGCATGTTTTTATTATTATTATTAGGACATGCAATCAATGGATCCAATAAGTCCAATCAGGCACTAACCTTGCCTGCAAGCTGAATTCTCGCGGTATTTGTGAGTTCACAAACACTCGAGAATACATGTTACCCCGCTCCCGCCAACCTTTTTCGAGTAGAACATCTAGGTGTTCAAGCCAATCACGCGCCAGTCTGGGGGTTTAGGGCGGGATATCCGGGTTCGACGAAAGCAAGAAGTGCCGGGCCGAAGCAAAACAAACATGGCTACGCAGGAGGACGGACGCGTAGCTGAGGCTATCAGGTCAGTTTTAGCAGAATCTCAAATTTCTTTTTTGAAAGATGAACAGCGAGAGGCGCTTTGTGCATTTCTGGACGGCAAAGATGTTTGTGCATTTTTACCTACGGGTTTTGGTAGGCGGGCACACGGCGTCACTTCGCCCAATCAGCTTGAAGTATTCTACTGCTTATCCCTCCTTTCCCCCGAAAGGATTCTCCTGCAGAAGTCCCAGATTGATATTGTGGAGAACGCATTAGAGTTCTACACAATCATCAATCTGGCTCTTGCCAGGTTAATCAGCCGCGGCTTCTCAACAAGAAGGTCCTGGGTTCAAATGCCGTTCGGAACTCTTGAGTGGAGTGGGGACATTTCAGTTACAGGACAGTCGAAATGAGGAGCACACAACACAGGATCGATTAACAATGGCTCTATACTATAATAGAATAACATCTATGACTATAAAGAAACAATTCTAAAAACTCCAACTTTAGCATAATTAGGGATACAAATCTTTGACTTTATAGGGCCTCAGTGCCTCCGGTTGGGACTATACTGGAGCTGGAGGATTTTACTTATGGTGCATGCATTTGTGTGATTGGGGAGCACAAGGAGAAACATACAAACTCCACTCATAAACCCACGACCTTCTTACTGTGAAGCATGACTGCTCTTGCTGTATGTGCACATTTGCAAGTAGAGTTATTGTTCCAACTTTTTTTTTTAAAGCCGAGTGCCTCTGGGCAGAAAACAAGTTCTTCCTCCTCTGGGTTCGTGCCGCCTGCGCCCAGATGGGAGCCACTCAAACTCTGCGGTCCTGCGTGATCTGTTGGGCTTTTCTGCAGGTCCGTTGGTGACAGGGGCCAGTGAGCGGGCGCGATGGCTGCCCAATGATCCGAGCACACACTTTAAATGTACTCCGCAGACAATACCGGTTCTGCAGAATGATGGAGTGGATATGGCCTTGGATTATGCACTCATGAAAGCAGATCTGGTTAGTGAGATTTTTTTTTGTTTCTTTTGGTTTTCCATACGAGTCTGCATGCACACTTGTGTAACCCTGCAAAATATCACACATTAGAATCATAGATAGATTATAAAGCAAGTAAAGTGGGTGAGTCAGAGCAGAGCCATTACATTTCAGGAAAATATAATGACATTCGGAAACAATTACGTGTGATTACATGCTCTTAAACGTTTTTTTTATTGTTTTTTTTGGCTTTTTTTTTAATTAAAGGCCACTTTTTTACAGCCTGTTTTTATGAGTGGATCCATGCCGATGCAGGAGGGTCTAAGGACAGTGATGATCAGGACATTTAAGGACATTTATCGACATAAACATTAAACATTTATGGAAACTGGTCATCCCGCTCCATATGGGTTTGTTATTATTGCATTTTCTGTTTGATTCTCTAAACTGCTGTTTTGATTCAGGACTGAACAAAAATAAATTGAATAGAATTTAACTTTGAAATACTTGTATACTTGCTTTTTGGAACTGTTATTTGCCGAGCGTGAAGCGAGGCCCATGAACTGTTTTAATGTGGGAGCTTTAGTTCACTCTATTGTTTTTCCCCATCCACTCACTAAACTGAACCATCGTGACAGACGCAACCCCATTCGAGAGCGTTTCAACAGATCTAAATATATGTGTGCAAAAGCCGTTGAAAGCGGTGTGCCTCGTGTCCCTAATAGACCCAAGTGCAGACTAATGCCTCACGCACAACACCTCTTCAAAAATGCAACCATTATTTTCAAAACGAGTGTCACGGAGGCTTGTGGTTTTGGGGGAAGCGCTGTCGAACACATCCGCAGTAAAGTGATAGAAAACGCTGCAAAAAAAACCAATCCCAGGACAGCGACTAAAGACACGCTCAGATTTCCACTTTTCCATCTGATAATATCACGGTGCATAGATAGTGCGTACCTGGATCTGGGCATGAACTGAAAATAGAGGGATGTGGAAGTGATATCTGGTGTTAAGCCAAGACACTACAAGCACAATGTTTGCAGAGCAGAATTTTGAGGTTTTCTTTTTTTTTTATCTCAGAAGTGCATGATTGTTTATGTGTTACTTTTGTGTTATTGTGTGTTATTGTGTTATTGATACAGTACAATAACTAGTAGCTCGCCTTCCACTTTTGGGTAGCTCATAAAAAGGGGGTGGCGAAAATAGCTCTCTGATCAAAAAAGGTTGGAGACATCTGCTTTAACTGGTTCCTCCGTGGTTCTAATAGGACTTTTTGTTTTGTATCAGAAATGTAACACGTGATGCAAAATGATTCCATTTTTTGTATTTGTATCTAATTTAACTAAATATGTCATATGTTCAATAACGCAGGGACATAAAAGTAAAATCTCGCTATCTCTGTGTTGTCCATACTTTTAACAATTATCATATAGTACCATGACAGGAACTAACTCTCTGCCATTTATCTTTTGTGAAAGTAGCTCTCTGATCAAAAAAAGTTTGGAGACTTCTGCACAAAAACGTTCCGTCTTGGTTCTTTGGGTTCCGATAGTGGTTTTTCAGATTCATGCATTTTTGGAGCTGCTTTTTGTGAAGCAAAAATGAAAAAGGAGAGAACCCTCAGTCAATCAGCTGGCAACCCAATGCATCAAACAGTGACTCCAAGGGGCTCTTTCATACAGGTATACAAAATATCAAATGTTTTCTAAGTTAAAGACACCATGATTTGATCTACTTTGTTCAAAATATTGTACCCTTTATGCTGGGACAGACTATTGCATAATAAATTAAACAAAAAGTACGTACTCTAGCTTTAATTTAGAAAAAAAATCTACTAAAAATCCGACTATTGAAGTGTGAAGACGGCAACAACTTTGACTTTGTTAGTTTCCTTTAAAATAAATCTGACCATAAAGCACAAAAAGGTCAGCCTCCCTGTAAAGATCAATAATGGCTTCATCTGTGGTAAATACGGCCCTAAAAGGCATTGTTTGCTTCTATTATCCACTTAATAAAGATGCATTGAAGTTTTGGCCACACCTGTCTCCTCTTGGCTACACCGCACCTCACCAGCCTCCCTCCTTCCTCCCTCCCTCACCCCTCCCACCCTCCTCCCCCCTCGGAGCTGAGCTAAGTCCACGGTGTTATTGACTAAACACAGGCAGCTGCAGCCGGTTAACTGTCTATCTTACATCAATCGATTTCCCCCCCTTAAACGACGGCGAGAGGAACAAAAGTTGCAGTGTGTGGCTGAAGGGGAGAGAGAGAGAGAGAGAGAGAGTGTGGCTGCCTAGAGGCCGAGGCAGTGATGAGTGACAAACGTGCTCTGGCAGGTTACAACCGCTTTACTCCCAAAGCCGTGCGTTCCCGGGCGCGGTCACCGACTCGCCCTCTGTAGCATCAAAGGGATAATGATCGAAAAGAAAGCACACGCGGAGGTGGGCAAAGGGGAGAAGGCTTTGTGCTACGGCAGAGAGGGCTAACAACACCCTCTTATTGACAGACAGGAGAGAGGTGCAATCCCAATTCAAACATGGATTTTCCAGGACAAAATTACAGCGTACCTGGTGTCCAAGCAACTCTGAGCTTTACAGGAAATATGGTCTAATGAAATCAAGTCGTCTTAGATAATTAATTCACTATATGCTACAATATTGAGCTATAATTAGTGATGGAATATTAACCGCGTAGGCATCAAAGTAGAATAATTTTATTGATCCAAGACTGGCTTCTCACAAACATTTTCCCACATTTTCTTCATTTCTGTAGTTTCAGGGCTCTACCTTTTGTCTATTTCACATATGTCACATTTGTTGCATATGTTTATCACTATATATGTTTCCATTGTCCTTGTTTGATAAATAAATTACATACAAATTCACAAAACAAGATTTTTCCTGCTATGGCTACGTTGCTACATACAATTTTTGAACCGAACACTTGTATTCTATAACCACAGGTAGGTTGGAGCAATAGGTGGTGCATTTTTTCAATAAATGTTGGTTAAATTTATACAAACTGTATCTATCTTCGATGGAGCCCATAAGCTATCCCAGTCTAATGCGATTTATTTTCATTTTGTGACTGAAAACTGTTTCATAGACATTTCCAGACCATTTCCAAATCGGGGTTGTGCACCAGACTTCCTCTCGTCATGTGTGTTGCGTTCATAAATCTGATTGTGCAGGTCCCTCATGGACAATTAAATAGGAACATTTCCAAAATGAGAAACATATGGGGCTTTTTAATTGACCAATTTCTCTTGCCAACATGCATGGCTTTTTCTCTTCTTCAAACCCAGTGAAAAGGAGAAGAAACGTGGGTTAGTGAGACATGCATATCGCAAACGTCATTGTCCTTGTGTTCAAAGCAAAACAGGCCTTCTGTTATCAGGATTAATAGCACCATTAGAGATAATCTATGCTTTGTGTAAGCCACCGGATGCAGCCGCACACACACTTTTTCCACAGACAAGAGAATATTTGTATTTCTGCGTGAATATCCATTTGGCCAAGCAGGTAATGGCCCTCCTGGCGAATAAAACATGAATAGTTAGACTCAAGTGTAGAAACTGTCGCCAATTTTTCCTCGCCACAACCGGTGCAATCTCTTCTGCCGCTCTGCTCCCTGACCTTGAACTAACGAAGTTAGACGGCTGGGAGAGAAACGGCACTGTAAGAATTCACATCTGGGGAGTTATTGTTCTACACATGTTGCGTGTAATCTGCCCGGCCCGTAGCGGTTAGACTAATTATTCATATTTAATCACCAGAGCTACCGAGTTACACAGCCTGCCGCTCACTAAGTCATTTTCCATGTTCCATTATCAAAGTTTCAAAGATGGCTTCAGAGGAGGAAGGGAGGGGGGCAAATGGAGAGGCTGAAGTAGTCGTGCTTATAAAAACATAATGACCCTGTCTGCTTTGATAAACCAAGGACCTGTGTAGACCAGCCACTCGCTCACACCTCCAAAATAACACACACATGCGGCGATAAACGACGGGGGGAAGAACAAAGTCGGGCCGAACAAAGTGGTAACCGGTTTAGATTGGAGGCGCTCAAGCAAGTCAGGAGCGCTATACAAATAACTGTGGCACAAGGGAAATGAAGGGCTTCTCGTTCGGGCCGGGGTGTTTTGTTTGCAAGGCGTCACTCGTTCATCCAACAGGCAAATTACAGCAGCCAGAGCTCACCTATCGTATGAGGTGGTGAAATGGTTTGACTCGAGATATTTTCATAATTTCTCTACTTTGTTCAGCATTGGTTAGAGTTAAAGGCCTCATACTGTACACGTAGAGTGAATAATCATAGTGAAAACCTCCCACACACCTGTTTGAATGCAGGTATTCAATGTTCTCAACAATGGCAAATCATCAAGCAATCTCAATCTCCGTGACAGAAATGTGGCTCCAGTAGCACTTGCACCACTCTTACAAAGACTTGTCAAACAGACAAATATAATATAGAATTTGTAACTATACCCCCCTCTGGTCCTTTACAAAGAGTTCAAAAGTGCCATTTCTCAAAGACATAACCGTCATAGCCATCTCGTCACTGGACCAATCAAAATGTCAGTCCTCAAAACATAAAAAGAGAGCATCTTGCCAATGGACATAATTGAAATGACAGGAAAAGGGTTATGGATGGCCCCAATTTACCCCAAGCGTTGCACATTGCGTATTGTAGGTGTAACTTAACGAAGGTGCGGAGGATACGTTCAATTTAGGTAAGCTTTTTTGTATAGCACAGTTCAGACACAAGGCAAATGAAAGCGCTAATCAAAATAATGAACAATTCTGCAAACATTCAAATCATGAAAAATCACAGAGCAAGAGTGACGCTACAATCCCTCAGTCGTATGCACAGCTAAACAAAATTGTTTTGATACTAGATTTGAACATTGTCAGAAACCTGTCTCACATTTTCAGGAAGAAACTTAAATTCTGAAACTCTGCCTTATACCAAGGGGCTTTTTTTCTGCCTTCTCCATGATGACGATGGTGATGAACCAGAATACGCAAGATTGACTTGGAAAAAATAGAGCTCCATCCCGATAAGACTTTTTCCACATGTAATTGTTATGTATTGTTTTGTATTGTTATACGCGCACATAGGAACCTTCAAGATGACAATGACGTTTCCTGTGTACACACTGAAGCTGCGTTGATAATAGGTGTAAATTGGAGAAAAGCAGCTTTGAAAACATGGCGTAGTTACGGCAGGAAATAACTTAACATCAGAGCAGTCAATTTGACGGCTTTTAGTTTTGCAAGTGTAGTTATTCATCTCGTGTAAATTGTTGGTCTTCATAACTGTGTGACTTTTTCTGTTTCTATGCATAGTTTACATAATTTATTCACAAAATAATGTTTTACTTTTGAATCGTGAATAGCTCAACCTTTATCTCACTTTATACCAGAGAATACAGAGTGCTATTTACCATAGTAACACACTGTTAACCGTCAGAAGTTAGCATTAGCCCTTTTTTGATATATTTCAGTTATAATCATCAGTTTTAGCACTTATAAATGACTTTCTTTTGATAAATCTGGCGAAAAAATATACATTCTTTGAGGGAATTTCTCAGAATACCATTGGTTTGGATGGGAGCAGTCAAAATGACGGCTCTGGGGGTTCTAGTAGTATCAAAATTACAAAAGGTGTTGAGGGGCGCAGGTGATTGGCGCGCAGGTGATTGGGAAAGTTTGTGTTAGATCGAGATGAAGATAAACTGTGATTGATTGTTTTGCCTTGTTCATAAGAATGAGTCAACATGGTTTGTTTGAATGCCCTTAACTCCCCCTGCGTGTCTCCCCTCCTTCCTCCCACCCCTTTCCTGACTTGATTGAGTTTCCTATTTCAGTATGATCAACTGTGAAGCTGTGACATGTGATTATTCTTGTGGAAACTGGCCAGCGAGTGACCTTACCCCATGTGATAAAGCCTGGAACTATTCCTTTGTGCTTCAGAAGTTTTCTCCATCCCAATACCTGTTTATATAACATACTTTTTACTTCAATCAAACCACACAAAACCCTGCTTCCGAGGATCATTGAGAACATTTCCACAACAGCGTACATCCAGAAACGCTTTGAATACCAACACCGAAGAGCTCTTGGTTTGACTGGCAGGCGCGCACCAAGCATGGAAATGACCTGCTATTGGTTTTGTCGGAGGCGTTTTGTGCTGCACACGTCACTTTGTCACTTTGCAGACAGCAGCGGCGCTCACCTTGCTCTTGAGGAGGGGGTTTGACGCCCGTGGACTTGAGTTTGAGCGCCTCTTTTGCAGACATATCACAGCAGGAGCCTTTGTTGGTGTCCTGGTCGCTGTCTGCTTGGTCGCTGTCACCATGGCCACTGTCTCTGAGGCTGGCGCGCTCCGGGTCTTTAAATGTCGAACTACTAGACAAACAAAGAGAAAGGAAAAAGAAAAAAAGGGAAAGAAGGAAATGAAGGGAAAAGAGCATTAGTACAGTCAGCTGCTGTGAAGTCTAAAAAGCTTGCCTCGCCTTCGGAGACAAAATGAAACATTCATGAACATCTTCCAAATGTGCTTAAATAAAACAAGAACAATTAGAATAAGATTATTTAGGATGTAATAAAATAACTCGCTCGGGGCTCTGCTTTGTCACGGAGGGCGGAGATAAAAACGCCACTGTTTAACCAATGTTGAATGTAGCCATATAGTGCAGTGGATAATTTAAGTATGTGAAATGCATGCCCCAGAGGAAATGAGGACTAGGACCTGACGTGAAAACATGAGATTCTCTAAAAATAAAAAGAGACTAAAGACTTAGAAGGATGAATATATGTTTCCCCCCATTTTTCCCTGCAATCTTCATGACAAAACAACTGAAGACAAGTTCTTGTTGAGGTTCTTAGACCCAGCTATCTGAAAATCCTAACCCTAAGATTTGTCTATTAACGGTGCCTTGGTGCAGGATCCACCATTTTTGACCTGAATTAACCACAGTACTGTATTGCATTACATGTCATATCTGCAGTAATAAGTGTTTTAGCATCAAAATGTGTTACACAGTGCACCTTTATTGTAAAACTGTGGGACATTTGAATATATTGGTAACATGTCCATGGGGCCCCACGGACGGCGGCACATTTACAGAGAGTCATTCTTACACTAGAGCTCCCAAGGCAGTCCATTTGACAGTTGTAATGTAATTGCTCATGTACATGTTTGGTCTTTAAAACTTTGTGACTTTTTCCAGATCTGTATCTAGTTTATCTCATTACTTCGTCTTTTACTTTTTAAGTTTGAGTCGTTATACTCCCAGACTCGTCATTTTGCTCGGTTCATTTAAATGTATTTTCAGATTTAGATTTTTTTGGCTACCCTAACCCTAGCTTTAATCTAATTCAAGGGTTATGTTGAAAAAAGAAAAAAAAAGAAAAGAGTGCTTGGACTAACCTAATTTTAAATGTAAGGAAGGCGTGTTAATGCAGACTGATAGAGCAACTAGGGCCTGATGGGGGCCCAATGGGGAACTCTGTTTTTATTTTTGTCTTGCCACATGGTTTGTATGTACTGTATGCCTAAATATGCCTACAACCTTTGTTTTGTAGCCGTTTGGCAGAATAAACGGATGAAAAGGACTCCCTGGAGCATGAAATGATTCAGGGGCAATCCATAATAAGTAACTAAATAAATAATAATAATTAATTGCATTCATGGTTCATAACAAGAGGCAATTTAAGTTCAAGTTTAAGTTTGTTTATTTTTTAATGTGCAGTTACATTAAAAAGAATGGCTGCACCAGATTTAGCATTATGCTCTTTTCCATCTAAGTCCTTGCCACGGCATTTGCTTTAAGTCCCTAAATGATGCGCAACATGTCATTGTGGCCTATATCCACCTTGGGTTAGATATACCGCGTACCCACCGTTGGAAAAAAAGTTAAAAACACAGCCCAAGAGAACCTCCATAACACATGTATCGTTAACATATACTGTGTTCTTAGCTCACATTTGCATCCACTTATATGTTTGCCCCTAGACGCGTTTTCACAGCGGAGTCACTAAATTAAAGGTGGTTCAGTTAGTGTTGTTCAAGTAGAGCACTGGGAGTTTACTGTAGGTAGAAATAGCAGAAAAGTGAGGTGTTGTTGTGATGGCTATGGATCCCATACCCTTACCTTTGTACAAACTGTTGTCTGCTGCCCATATAATTAGGCTCAGAGGGGAAATTGTCGGTCTGTGGAGGAGAGAGAAAAGGGAAATAAGTAAGTAGTCTGCACAAAGGAAGCCCATCCTGCTGAGAAACTGGATCTCCTGGTGGTGACATAAGATTAATTATATACAGATACCATCTCAAGTGCTGAATGAAGAGAGCAAAACAAAAAATAATGAGATAGCTCTATGTATATATATCTTTAAAGGCAAAAAACCCCCAGCTAATTAGGCAATCGGTGGTGAAACATGAGGCGTACAGTTAGAGAATCAAATACACAAGCTGTACGATCCAATCTGCTTTGATTAATGCATGTATAATAATTCAAATCAAGGCCAAGTTTAACATTTGTGAAGCCAGTTCTGCGGGAATTAATTAGGATCATTTTGCAACATTACAGGCTGGACTGTCCGTGAAAATCTAAATATAGCAACTATGACAAATTAACAGTGGCTTTTCATTTTTGTGATTAAGTCATTTCCATCACATTAAGAAAACTGTGGCGTGTTCAATAAAACATGAACAGATAATACAGTTTTTATGTGTGTGTTTGATTGTTGTTTGTTCAATTGAAATGAGGGATTAGAACCTCTAAATGTGTTTGTTTTGTGATATCAATAATAATAATAATAATGCAAACATTTTATATATCACTTTTTTGGACCCAGAAAGATGTTATTATTCTTTCGCTCCATACACAGTGGTGATGATCAACTATTGTAGCCACGGCTGCCCTGGGACAGACCGTTATAAGCAAGGCCAACCAGTATGAACCATCGACCCCTCCGACCACTATCGATCTTTTACGCACACATCAGACTCATTCTAGACAATGTGGGTGGAGTGTGTTGCCTAAGGACACAGCAGCAGTTTGGAAATTCGCAGTTACACAATGTTCTAAGTGCTTTATATTTGTGGAAAAAATTATCAAAATAATTTATCTTCAATGACAAGTAATATAGCAATACTTCACACTACGACTGAAGGCTTCTGTAACATGTCTGGCAGTGTTCCTAAATGAATAAATGAGGCCCTAAGATTAAGATGAAGAGACCCTTTATTCGTCCCAACTTCAGTGGAGAAATTTCAGTGTTGCATCACAGGTTACAGAACAGTAGGAATGAGGAGCACACGACACAAGATAAGTACAACTCTATACTTTAAAAACAAAAGATCAAAACTCTATCTTTAGCCTATTAAAAAACAAAATATACAATACTGAAAAAAGGATTATTGAGATAAGGACAAAGAGGAATTAGAATAGAACGAATAAACCATTTATACTAACATTTAAAGTCAAAGTTAAAGTTCAGCCGCTATGTTTTTATCCAAACAGTTCAATAACCAATATATAATCAATATTAATTTGCAGAAAAAATGACAATATTAGTCTTGATTTGATGAAAAATAAGATACAAATTCCACCCGTTAATTTCGTAAGGCATATGTTCACTTAACAAAACAAATAACAAACTAGAAATATATAATTCTGATCTCATACAGGAAAAACCTCTTCAAACGAACTCATCCTTGGCGTTAAACGAGCTCTCAATCCACAATCCACAAAGTCAACAAGACACTATCGATACGCTGACATTGACACGACAGAGCCTCAAAGCCGGGGAACAAGAAGGAGACACGTAAACACCAGCGTGCTATACATCGCTATGGCAACACATTTATATAATGGCAAAACGCTGTTCAACCTTTAGAGCACAAACACTCGTCTTGCCTATAAGCAGTGAGCGCAGCAGTGCATTACAGACTGGATCAATCACAGCGGAGGAGAGAAGAAAAAAAAATCCCCTTCCAACTCGGTCTCTAGTTAATTATAACCACGCACTACATATGACGCTTATTTAATCATATCCATAGCAATAAAAGGGCAACAAAGATCCCAGAGTGCCTTCTGACATTTAAAGAACCACTGTGTCACCTTGCACGTCCGCTTTGATTTAAAATACAGTAAGAATAAAAAGAAAGAAAAAAAAGTGTAAAAGGAAGGGACGTTCAAGTTGTACCATGAGAGAAAAGCCAAGTATTAAAGTCAAAAAGAAAGCGAGACAAGCACAAACTATATATTAAAGGCAAAAGAAAGATGAAGACATAGAACGATTGGATTTATTTATTGGATGTGGGACTTGGTACAAAACTAAAGGCCACTTCTGAAGACAATTTGTTCAAACAACCATTTTTTGTTCAGTTCGGACTCTTTGACCAGGCAGGGTCAAAGAGTCAGTTGCTATACGTGGCCACCGATTGGCTAGACTTTCAAAGTGGGCGGGCTCATTTTCCATTATGACTGATAGCACAACAAGCCATATGCCATTTGGTAAAAAATAGTTATCTTGTGTTTTTATTTACATACAAATCTTGTAGTTTTCGCAACTCTTCTCTTATCCCATCATCGTGCTGTGGTGTGTAACTCCTCCTTTAGTGAGTGTGTGTGGGTGTGTGTGTGTGTGTTTCCATAGCAATTAACAATTCATGATAAAGGATAATGTATTTTGTAGAAAACTGGACTTGAAACCAAAAATCCCAACTAAACAATTGCAAAGTTCTATCTTTTGTGATTTTTGTGATTTGAAAATTAGGTACCCACGCTTTAAACTGACACATATTCATAGCCTCTTGTTGTAACAACAGTGATGCAAGCTAGTATAATAGTCTCACCATATTTGACGTGTTAATTAAATGCTAATATCCGTAGCTACAGGGCAACAGAGCAGAAACAATACTGAAACACTGAACTGGAAAGTGACCTTGAGTAAGCTCTTGAACACAGTATTAACATGACACAAACAAAGTGGCTCTGTAGATGAAAAACACACTGTACATATCTGAAGGTACATCAGTGGCTGCTTTAGCTGAGCTCTTGTTCCTGTGAAGTCCTGGTTTAGACCGCGTAAGACCCAAAACTGGGCTTAATTTGACCCATTTTAAGCGCTTGTTTGGCCCCATATTTGGCTTTTAAGCCGCCACATACTTGAGCTCATTAAAGTTGGTACTCTGAAACCCAAATATTTACCGGGTTGATTGGAAAAGTTTGTAGCCCTGTGCATTCGCTGATGGCTTCCTGATTGCCAAGAAGTGCCAGAGTAAGTCAAGTATACCACCGTAATGGGAAATATCGAATGTATCACAACAGCGCTATTAGAGCCATGTGCTGGGGTAGATTTAAGATGGATGGAAACAAATCCCTTCTAGAGAAATTGCTTTCATGGCGTGGACGAGGTATTCATCATGGTAACACAAATAATTACCTTATGTAGTGCACATCTCGGGCTCTAGAATTGATAGCGGCAAAATGTCATGTTTAGTGACTAATGTCTCCCAGCGCTGGGCCTTTTTCACATGCACAGCGTGACTCAGAGCCAATACACTATTTCAATGTCATCCACCGCCGCTGTGGAGCTCTGGTTGAAAATAAAAAGGCAGGCAGGTGAGAAGGTCGTGGGGGCCAACTCAGAACGCCGACCTTCCATACTTTGGACAACACCTTTATGGCCTCCCTATTTGATTTGTAGCAGCCTTCAGTGAGATTATAATCAAACGCCCACAGAATATATCAAAAGCAGGAATCCGGACACTGAGGTGAGGCAATAATGGATGTTGGCATTGAAGATATAAAAGACCCAGGTTTTTCTAAAGTAAAAAATGAGGCAAAGTGGAGGTCTTTATATTGATGTGCCCCTTCTGTACTTTCTGACCAGGGTCTCATCCTTGGACATTTTCTTTTTTATTATAAGCTCAGTGCGGCTAGCCTGAAGGCCAAAAAGTGCTCCGTCATACATGGACTTTATCGAAATGTTTTGAGCTGTTTGTCTAAACCAAATACTTAAGCAGCTGCAGTGATAATCTCTCACAATACTTGTTTTGCATTAACAGATTTCGAGCTCCGCTGATCCTAAAGCCTGTGTTGTGCTGAAAGCTGCATTCACACAAATTGAACTAAACTTTATTCTAATTTTGCCTCATTTCTTTGTTTATAAAGGTGAAAGCACCAAAGTGTATATTAGTTTGGCGACATCACAAGGACTGCTGCCTTAGTTTCTGAACCGAACCAAGTCCAGAACCTATATAATCAAGGAGGTAGCAGTAATAAGTGCCGGTGTATGCATTACAACTCAATTCAATGTATTTTTGTATAGCTTTAAATCACAACAGCAGTCGTCTTCGGAGGACTTTGCAAAGTTGTCGATTCACCAGATCAGGGAATGAAATAGTTCTAACACATGAAATGCAATAATAGCAAACATACAGAAGCCATTGGTCCATAAGGGGAAGACCAATGTCCATAAATGTTAATAAAAGTCAAAAAATGTCCTTAAATGTCACGGATCATCACTGTCCTAAGACCCTCCTGCGTCGGCAAGGAACAACTCCAAAACATACAAGCCAAAATGCATGCAATTCATTCAAAAACACATATATTTTCAACCGTTTTCCATAACCGGCCGCAGACACACACATACACAGCCATAAAAAGCACATTACCTCAGTGCATTGACCAGTGTTTCCTGCCAATTAGTGTCTCCAGTCTGATCTTAAGCCTCCATCTCTTCCTGTCTGTTTATACTGGCCCGGCCTTTTACTACAGTGGGCCACTTTCCAATTAATGGGTCGATAAAGGCCAGTGAAACTCCCATTGTGCTCACCCAATCCATAACATCACAATGAGTACAAGATAATATAAAGGAGGGAGAGGGTGAGGGGGTGAGAGATGATAAATACTGACCAGATAGTTTTAGCGTAATCACGGACTCTATTAGACACTGGCTGATTTAATTGAGTGATATTGAAAATTATGTAGCAATGTTGGTTTACAGCTGTTGGACATGTCGGTATAAGGGATTGACAAAGTGAGGGACTATGAGTAACTTTTTTATTAAAATATATACAGTATATGTTTTAAACCATTACTCTACATCTCTATAGAATAAACTACAGGTGATATCTGTGGAGATGAGAGCCGACCAATTACAAGAATGTTTTTGAAGGGGGAAAAAAAACATTTTATTTAT